CTGCTTCTCGGGATCGATGGACGGCCAGATTCGCATCTGATCCGCGGCTATCTCCAACGCCGACGGTTCCTGAGCCTGATAGATGGAGTATCGATCGCGGTACGGAAACTCCTTGCCGTCTCGAGGGCTGATGGGGCTCAAAATGCCGTCGTTCATCAGCCTCGGCGGAGAATTGTCCCCCGGCAGATACAGACGTTTCACATCTTTCTGCACGTCCAGATAAAATGCGTCCTCCCAGAACTGCTGATTCTGCCACACCGGATGCTCCTGGATGCAGGTGTACGCGAATTGGATCACGCCGGTGCACAACTTCCGGCAGAATGCAGTGGCGAGCGGGAGCAGCGCGGCGGCAACGCCGTGTTCGTCCATCGACGAGTCGTCCTGCAGCGCGCAATTCATCAGACGCACCACTAAATCGAACTGCTGATGTTCCAGCATGGCCTTGTTTCCCACCACGTGCTGCGCCAGCTCCATGCAAAGCGCCAGTCGAGCGGCCTTGCTTTTCAGAGCTCGCAGAACCGCCGGGAATGTTTTGCGAGCGTCCGAGATCTTGTTCTCGAATATGCAGTTGATGCAGTTGCGTAATACCTCCAATCTTCGAGCGGAATTGCTAACCAAGTGTCTGGTGTCGTGAACGAACGAAATGTGCGGGCCCATGGGCACGATGCGGGGTTGAATCGGCCGCAGCGACGACAGTCTAACCTTGAGATTGTTCTTCGCGAGGCCTTCGTCAATAATCGTTTGAACCTGCTCCGGATTGATGCGCGGCAAGAGCGGCTGATGTATTCTCGTGAACGCGCCCTCGGGCGGTTTCAAGATCTTTTGCACGTACGGCTGGGGATTCGGATTTTCGTTCAAGTACAACTGTTGCGCCAGTTCTTGAATATGCGTGAGGATCACTCGATGATCCTGCGTCTCTTGCTTCAATTGATCGCTCAGATTACTGTACAGTTCATCCCACACGTCGCAGGGTCTCCACGGCGGGCCTCTTTCCGCGACGAAGGACGTGAAGAACATGCAATCCAAGACTCTCGTGGTGAAGTCGCAATCCGTTAGACCTCTCTCGCCCAGAAACGCCGCTTTGTGAAACGTGATGACCGGCTTCGGGTGTATTCGTATCAGCGTTAAACAGCTCCGGTATCCTTGCAACAGTTGAGCGAAGGTTCTCATAAACACCGCCCTGAGTTCTTTGTCGAGCATGGGCGAGTGCGGCGCCCTGGTGGCGAGAGGAGGGAAAGCGTAGTCCGCGCACGTTAGTTCTGGCTGCAACACGAGGGACAATGATTCCTGCGTTTGCGAGAGCAGCGGCTCTGGCAGCAGAGCGAGCGAAACGCCGTCCGGAACCGTTATGGAGCCTCCGTCCAGATCAGCCACTATTACGTCCATCTGTTATGTTAGAAAAATTGTAAGTGCTTGTACAAGAATAACGTGAATTTTTCTAAATCATATAGAATGTGCCTTACAAGCTCCGCAACTTCGTATTTTAACGAACTGTGCACGCCCATAATGAATGGCGTCGGAGTGCTGAGTATTTCGACTAAAGCTGCTGGCAAAAGAGGAATGTAAACGTGCGAGTATCTAAACGGATACATTAATGCCGTGAGGGCGCGACACCCTTCAGTCAGTCGGGAATAACTAGCGGAGTGAAAAAGTATCTTGTGTTCTGTCATGACTGCGCAAAATAAGACTAATACATTACGAATACCTGGAAATGATATCGTATGTCAGTAACGAGTAATATTTATAACAGGCGTTTAGCTGTACGTTTAACCTCACTATTGCATTTTCTTACCTAACTGCTGAAATAATAAATTTACACTAGTATGAGTTATAGGAAGAGAAGGACTAATTGGTGGTTGAAGCGCCTGGCGATCTCCTGCTCCAATGCTGAATCGTACCTGGGGCCCACCAGGGGGAGGTACTTGAATACATCCTAATATGTTTCCGACTAATGTTTCTAACGGTATACCAAGATTTTCCACATACACCGTGTAAATAATACCAAGGCAATTCTGCAAGAATAATAATGAATCATTATTGACGAATCCCAGTAAACACGTATAATTGATAGTATTAATTGTAAACAAATATACACGTACTCTAAATGTTTCTATGTAATCGAGTCTGGAAACCAGCACCAGACATTTGGGTGCGTACATAATGCTATGATGCGCAATGGCGGGTATCGCCCTGACCAAGGGGCGACTATCCCCATCTACGGGATCCTCCTCCTCGTCAACGGGCTTACTTGGCACAATCGATACCGTTTCATTGAAGCACATGCAAGCGCAATAATGTCGATTTGCATCAATATCTGTCAATATTGAAACAAAGAAGCGCGGCTCCTGCCTCTCCGTCGATAAGGCCCATCCTTGCGGTTGACAAAACTGTAAAAGACAATACGTATGTAGCGAAATCAATAATATTAAATTTGTCTCTAAGAAAAATCAATTTTACCCATTCTATCCCTTCAATGAAAGGTGTATCTGGCCAATCTTTCTCTGGGAATCGTTGTAATATAACTCCACTACTTACACCACCCCCTATAATCATAACATACATGCATTATATCGCATTGCATATATATTTTCAATTCTTACATGCAGTAATTTATAATGAAACAATCAAGAACTAACAGTGTTGAATCTCAATAGAGTGATATGGTCATATATTAAAATAGAAATTATCATCATCTTTTTAGATCATCCTTTATTTTTAACTATATTTTGTTATCTCACTTTTTTTTCTTTTTAAAGCCTAAACATGCATCGATTGTTCGTTTTACAAGTCAAAAATGTGTAAAAGAATGTAGATAGAAAAAAATATTGGGTGTAACCCTAACGAGCCCTAACGAGTAACCCTTCAACGATGACTTACTCTCTTTCTCGTGATCGTAGCCGACCACCACAAAGTAGTCGGCTAGCCGAGACATCTCGGTGTATTCGTGGGGCTGAGTGGGGGTGGTTGCGCTCAACATCCCACGTCGAGTTCGTTACACGTGATTTCATGGACCGTAGCCTACGGCTTAGCAACTGTGCACTACTCTCTCGTCAAACGTAGAGAACGCACGGTCGCGCGTCAACGCGCGGATCAGTTTGAAAGTGTCGCGAGCATAGCCCTCGCGCGATTTCTCACCACGTCGCGCGACCCCCTGGCTCGACTGACACACGGAAACGTCAAGCTGATGTGGAACCGCGCACGAACACCCCGTTGCGGTTAACGCGAAGATCTCGCACGCATCAGCGAAAAAAAAAAATACGAGCGATGTCTCGCGAACGCAAATCCTGCGCGATCGTCAGCACACTTCGAGTGTGCTGTTTCAACGCGACATCGTGTCGCTTCGCTACCGGCGTCTCCGTGCGTCCCGCGAACCCGCCGAATAATGATGCCACACCCCGAAACCTCAATCCATAACCTACCAAACTCAAACGCCACACTGAATGTTTGTTGAACCCGCGTACAGATACAGAGCCGAAATGCGCACCGCGATTATGATAAACGAAGACGAGTACGCGCCGCCGTCACTCGGCAGCTACTTGTTTTTTTTTGTTCGCCATCTGTCGGCTGCACAAGGCATGCTATAAGCACCACGGACTTCCTCGTTAGATAAAACAGTCGAGGAGAGTGTTTTTACATAGTATGAATCCATCTAGAAAAGCTATAAGCCACGGGCTGACCAGGCTGATCACATGAGGCGAGTATGGTTGTTCACTTTGACAGTTTGTGATAAGTAGATCACGATGAATAGATTCGAGTACGCTGATTCTCGGCTTATGCCGAGTGAAACTTATGTGAGACGTGATATGGCTGTACGTCTCTATGATGGCGATACAAAGGTAATAATATTGCGAATGCTATTTGTACTTGAAACAATGACTCAGACAAATGTGCAGTGTTCAGATTTTTAATTTATCGTTCTCACGCTAGATCATAGATTTAAGGATTAACCAAGATCATTTTTGACAGACAAACTTTGAAGGTGGTGAACTAATCTTAACTAGTCACAGAATACTTTGGGGTAGACCTGGTGATATACCACGAGGTAATACCTGTTTATCACTGTCACTCCGACATGTCGTTTTCTTTGAAGAAGAAAATCCTGGACCGTTCTCGTTTGGACGTAGCAAGAAAATTGTATTACATCTTTCTGAACCTGCTGTCGGTAAGATTTTAAGTTGCGTAAATAAAGGGATTAATAAGCTATCTGATTGAACTAACAATTTGTATTTTTAGATAAGATGCCTGGTCCAGCAGATAATAGTTCATACAATTATGTCAAGTTGTCATTTAAAGAAGGCCTGGATTCAAATTTTATAACACAATTATCTGATACTATTATGAGAAGAGTGTGGGAGTTTGCTCCTGCCGGAGGCTTAATTTTGCCTAATAATGCGCATAATAGTCAAGGAAACTCAAAGCTGCTACCTCAAATAAAAACGCGGACGGGTATCATAGGCATCGAGAGGAGTTTGCAAGAGAAGCAAAAAGAAACTGATGAAAGTATATCGTTGGCATTTCAAGATCTCACGAAACTTATGGATATGGCTAAAGATATGGTGGCCGTTTCAAAGACAATTTCAGCTAAAATAAGGGTGATTTTCAATGATTCTTTCGTAAAGTTAACAGATTGAAGTTCATAATGCAGGATGATTGCAGGCGAGGCAAGGAGACATAACAGAGGACGAAACTGTCAGATTCAAGGCTTATCTAATGAGTTTAGGTATTGACGATCCAGTCACAAGGGATGCGTACAAGAGCAGCAATGAATACTTTATACAATTAGCGAAGCAACTTGCATATATATTGGAAGAACCAATAAACGTTTGTAGTTTGGTTTATCTGATGAATATAAAGAATAATTAAATTTATTATAATTATTATAATTGATTTTAGGAAGTAGGAGGCATGATGACACTTACGGACGTTTACTGCCGTGTAAACAGAGCAAGAGGTTTGGAACTTCTATCGCCTGAAGATTTATTACACGCCAGTAGACAGTTGGCACCTTTAGATTTACCAATTGTATTGAGAAGCTTTGATAGTGGTGTTATGGTTCTCCAAATACGCTCTCACAACGATAACTCCGTCGCTGATCGCATAATGGAGTTGGTGAGTATTGAATAATGAAAAACTTGTTAAATAAAATTACTACCCGATTCTTTCATTATATCTCCTGCATAAAATTTTTAGTTGAAAGAGAAAGGATCCATGACAGCCGAAGATCTCGCACAGTCAGAGGGTATATCAGTATTATTAGCACGTGAGAGATTGCTAGTCACTGAGAAGCATGGCAAAGCCTGCAGGGACGACTCGATAGAGGCTTTGAAATTCTATCCTAATCTGTTTCTAGAAGAAATATCTAGTGAATGATTTTTAAGCTGCCACGTATGAGCAAATGTCCTGTTAATGTAATCAGATTGATGCTGGCCATTATTATGTAACACCAGTGCATTTCATGCTTTTATATATTTCTCCACGTGCTCGAAGTGTAACTAAATTAAACTCAATTAGAGTTAAACTAGCATGTAAAATATAAATAATATAATATCTATTTTTAAGAAGATATGACTACTCGTTCTTAATTATACTTTTTGAACCTGACTTTATTAAAATAAATTGTATACACATAAATTTTGAAAAAAATATCTTTGATACAAGTACGGAAAAATCGACAGTAAAATAAGTTTTATACCAATGTTAATATAATTGGCCCTTTAAATAATACAAAACATTGCTGAGAAAGAAGTGAACGAAACATAAGCATGAGTCAATAAAGTACGAGGCATTATCCATTAATTGAAATATATTTTTTTAAATTTATTCATTAAACGAACTGTGTAAATAGAGCCGCAACCATGATTAACAATGATCATGTATAATTAATAGTACATGACTTTCCGCGTCTATGTATATGTATGCATATATACAGGATAGAAATTATTTTCTAAAATAGCGAGCCACACACACAAAATTTACCAGTGTATCCTTTGACAAACTTGATATTAATTTTTCTCTAGTAAATTGGCTGACCAATGCGGACTTTTTTTTACTCAATTTTCTTTTTCTGCTTAATATTTTGATAATTAATTTTTAATTAAAATTTTTTTTAAACAATTTGAAATTAAATGGAAAATAAAATTGTTATTCTTATTTATATTGATAAATTTCCTGAAAAAAATTTAATAAATTTATCTTTAATTTTTTCAAATCTTATAATTAAGGAAATTAATCTCTCAACAATTTGACTAAGAATTTTAAATTTATCAAAGAATATATCAGCAAATTCTGATTCACTATTTCAGATACACCCTGTAGTATACGTTGTACAGCATACAAATATCTGCTGTACAATTACCGTCCATCATCGGTAAATTATGGTATTTTCCACAAGTCAATGCAGTTAAAGTTTGTTTATACAATTAATATAGTATGGTACAAGATATCGTATAACGTACATATTATATCTTTCACGAACACAAGCTCGAACGTACCTATTCGTTTGAAAATTACTTTACGAACGTTAATTAAAACGTCAAAGGTTAATTATTTTTAATTTATCTAAATAAAAATATATTATTTATTATTCTAGGACAAAATAACGATCTATATATTATACTGAATGCTCTGAAAATAACAAAAAGTTTGTGTGCGCATTTGATTTAATTTTGACGAAAATTAATAACGATCTTGTCAATTGCGCAATATCTCATAAGATAATTAATTTCTCCATTAATTTTTTTAATAATTAATGAAGGTACGTTCGAGTGCATTTTGTAATGCAATAGGGAAGGCTTGGCAAAGTTCATTCCTCGAAAGGTTTCATTTTAATCAACGAGATACGAAGATCATAACGCATATATACATATACAGGGTGGGGTGAATGTGCCCTTATTATATCACAGAGAGGCGTAACAAAAATATAAAATAATTTAAATTTTATAGTATTTTGTATGTGAATCGTACACTCATGCAATGGCTAAATGTGTTTCGTGATTCGTCTCACAAATATAACATTATAACATTATAAATTATTAATAATAATCCTACTGAAATACCCAACAACGGATAATATTGCTATCACTTATACATCAATATATCGTATTGCTAATAATGTATGACTAATATTATATACTACTTTACAAAAAATGGAGAACACTTTTTAAACGCTCAAAATGGAGCAATTTTCAAACCACTAGAACTCGAGTAAAAAATCATCGCTGACAAAAAATTGAAAAAACATTTTAAAGCTTAAAAATGCTTTTTCAATTTTTGATCTGCGATGATTTTTCATCAAGTTTCGGTGATTTGAAAATTGCTCGATTTTGTGCGCCTGAAAAGTATTATCTATTTTGTGGAGTAGTGTACTTCAATCTATTATTGTTAATGCGTATACTAGAGAGTAAAATGACCAAATCAAGAAATTTGCAAGAAATGACATTTTAAAATTAATTTTGTCATAAAAAACATAATCATTACAGAAACATTATAAAATTAAGTTATTTCTTTTCTGCAAAAGAAAATGTCTCGAAGTATTTAAACGCATCAATTGAATTTTTATTTTTAATTTTTAATATACCGAAGATATTTTGGCGTACCTCAAATTTATTTATTTGTATCGATATTTCAAAAATTAATTCTTTTAATTAATGCTGTTAAAAAATCTATTATAATTGATACAGTGACGCTATTTGTGATACGAATCACTTTGCACTATTATTGTCATTATCATTCGATTTTCTCTCTCTCCCTCTCATTCTCTCTCTCTCTCTCTCTCTCTCTCCTCTTCTAATCTCTTTCTTTGTTTCGTTCTTTGAGTTCCTTCTTTCACTCATTCTCGCCTTGCATCGGCGTACTTTTTCCCATGCTACACCTGTCTTTTCGCCAATTTTTAATCTCTTTTACTTATCCACTTTCTCTCTTTTACCACTATAGCTAGCCTCTGACAAAACTAAATTCTGAAAAACGAGATGCAAACTATTAAACAGCTCTTATTTCTTTCCCCCTGAAGTCGTCCCGCCCATACGGTTGTATCAGGTTTAACTTTAACATGTACACGGATATCTCGGGAAACGGATGCAGCAGTAACTCGAGCACTCTTGTGTTACTTTATGTTACAATCAGGAAAAAGTCAGGCGATCGTGTGTTCGTTGAAATAAAGTTCACGCGAAACACGATGAACAAATCTCTGCCACTTTCCCGCGATATCGTGTATACGGCGTCCACGTGTCACGTATTATTAAACGTGGACGTTTAATAATAGTACGCGTAATATGCGCATAGACGCGAATCGCACATAGGTATTAAGAATAAAAGTTTAATTTTGTGCTGATATACAACAGTGTTAAATACTAATTTATCTCGGCTTATATATATTATGTATATGCATACAGATTACGTGTACGCACAGTGCGTACGATCGCTTATGTACAGTGCCCCATCGTTAGATACATTCCGTCAAATTATAATTTGCAAATTATGCGTATCTTCAAATCGATTTAAGAGAAATTGTCTCGGACAAACTGTTTCGACTAAAATGTCTAAAAAACGCGCGATAAGTTTAAAGTTCAAGCATAATTGTAAGTGATTAACACATCACAATTTCAAGATTTCAGCAAATTAGCAGCTTTGGCTATTTTAAAAATAAAAAATCCACAAATTAATAGATTAAAATTTAAAATCAGATAAAACAATCAGATGTCATTTAAGAAATTTATTTAAAAAATTAAAATTTAAACCAGAAATCAAACTCAGCAAACACTAACAAACAGTAACATAACATCAATGTTATAATTTCCCACTCAACAATTTAATTACGTATAAGACATGTTATATTGCAGTGACGTTGTTGAGTGGCAAATTATAACATTAATGTTATATTATTGTTGATTAGTGTTTACTGGGAATTATTATTAGCAGTAATAATCATTCCTGATTTCTCGAAACCATCGTTGTTAGAAACATTCGCCTGTGCTTCTTGCAATAATTTTACTTCCGACAAAGTACGCACTCTCCAAATCGATTCCATTCATCTAAACTATTCTCACGGATCACCACGTATATATATAATATATCAGTGAAGAGACAAGTATCGTTTGCAAAGGGTGCCTTACAATTAGATTTATGAAGTTAATGAGAAGTGAGCATATTAGTCCCATTAGTAATTGGCGATAGAAAAATCTGCGAAAAAGTTAATGTGAAAGTGAGATAGCTTCATGACAAAGAGTGTATAGTATAGATAGTAAAATTTTGCTTGTAATGTATTTCTCTTTTTTTTATATATATATATATATAATATGCGTACACGTGTGCATGTACAGAGACTAAGACTTGCGAGTTTCATCATGTATATGAAGAGGTACAAAAGTTATAGATATAGAATAGGCGTTGAGGTCCAAAAGGCTGTCTAATTCGCGCGAGTTGTTTAACGATCGTCTTTTTTTGACGGTGACCGAACTGTTGATCGACGGTGTCGGAACCGTGGATCCGGAGATAAATCTCGTAAGCTGATGGCCCCGATCACTATACGATAAGAAAAAAAAATATATTAAGAAGCATTTGCAGAAATCTATTCTATAAAAAATCAAAGTTTTTAAAAATCAGAAATTGTTTCAAAGATACAGTCTTTTTTACTTCGGTCTAATTTGAAAATGTTAACAATACTCTGAATTTTGACAATTGATTAAATAAATTTCATTGAATTCTGACTAAACTTATTTGCTATAAGTATAGCAGAATATTACAACAAATTCAAGAAACATTCAACCAACTTTCGGGGAAAATCGCGAAGAAATAGGCACTCACGTCGCAACTCGGGTCATCATCATACAACATGAATTTCTTTGCGAGATAATGACATGTGGAAATGTCTAGCTTCTTTCTTACATACTAATTTACAACAATCTTCTCTTACGTCTAATCTAGTTAAATTCTAATGATAGTCAAAAATTGTGACCCTCAGTTTTTGAAAGGCAAAACATTGCCCGAAAAATCAACGCGTAACATTTATCAAGGAGCTATGGTGATTATGTAAATTCGTGCAGTATTTATTCTTTACGAAATGCAACAGAATCGTTGCAAGATCTGCTGCAAAAGCTGTCAGTCTCAAGATAGTTCCGACACCATCGAGTGCTGCAATCGGTCCTCGATTTTTCGTCGCGTGGATCACCTCGTTGTTGAACATGAAGAGGATCGTAATCGATCGATCTCGATTAGAATTAGTACATCCGTGAAAAAATACATTATCCCTCGTTTTTACCTATAGCGATAATTGTGCATAAAATTCATTCATATTTTGGGGATGACAATTATTCGATCATGCTTGTGGCATTGAAGGAAAGAGAAGCGCCATTGTGAATGATGTCGAAAAGAACTCGAATTCACCAAAATTGATCGCTCCTAGAAAATAGAAAGTGTTTTACAATGACAAATGCGATGTAAGAATGGCAAAGGGAGAGATCAATGATTCACTAACAACTATCGATTTTCCAGTCGCACGGCGTCAAGCGCGTTCGTAGTCTTTAACTTACAATTAAAATATCCCTAAAACAAATTAATTGCTTGATCATATTAATTGCTTAGTGAGAGATATGTAACGGAACACATTGCTATGAATATCGCGTCGCATTTCAGTCGGCCGCGTCAAATCCCTTCTGCTACGTCCAATTATCCCTGTAAAAGGAAGATTTAATATCCGCAGTCGATTGTAATTCGCAGGATAACGATCTAACATTCGTTCGGATCTTCCCAACTGTCGAACTCAGAGTAGATGATGGTGCGGGTCACTTTAGAGCCTGTTCGTGCTTGAGGACGCGTTCAGTATCGACAAACAATTGAAATAGTTAATCTTCGCCATGCAGTTAGTGTGCGGTACAATTTCGAATCGCTCATAAAGTAGTCCTTCGTCAACAATATTGCGCGTCGTCTGAATGATCATTAATAGAAGACAGATAGGACAACACGCGCATCTCTCTGCGAGATTGTATCTTATTTTACGATGCGATTATACATATGCATGGCCTTTCAGCTTAATACATCAAAGAGCGCGGGCGTGACACAGAATTTTATACGAGATGGTACTTGGAAGATAGATGATACTTTAAAACTTTGTTTTCGCAGATCACCAGCTCCGGTCGTCCTTCGGAACGCGATATCGTGTCTACTTCCTGAGAGGATGCCACATGGCGACCGGACGCCGCAAGGCCGCTAACATTTGTCTCCAGTGTGCCAGCGCTTTTCCCGTCGAGGTAGATCCTACGATAATGTGCCCGACAGAGTACGCCTTTGGACTCGTACCTTGATCACCGTTCATTTCCGCCACCGTCAATCTTAACTGTATAGTCTGAAAGAAATGTACGTTTCCTAGGAATTCGTAAAAAAGAACATAATCGAACGCCAATTTATATATCGCATATTAATTTATAAAAAAAAAATTATTAAAAAATTTATCAAATAATTAAGATTAAATTATTTTAATTACTTTTTGCGCTCAAATCATATTTTTATTATAATTCTTGAGAAGAGAAAATTTGTCAAAACCTGTAAAGCATGCGCTGGCACGCTGAATATTATCGCTTCGTTGAAGATCGGACTTTTCTCCCCCTTTTTCACAGATGTCTTCTTCTTGTGTATCTTTTTCCCTTGTTGAAGTAGATAGACCTTGGTGAAAAGGAAAACAAATATTGACCACTTTTCAAATTACTTATCAAACTATTGACAGAAGAGCGACGTAGAAATTACTTTAACGAAGAAATCACCCGGAGTTGAATTCGCACCGCACAGGTTGCGGGCTTTAACCACTACAAGGGTGAGTCTCTCCGCTGTTGGCAAGTAACTAAGAGAGAACATCAATTCTCCCAGATGCGGGGTGGGTAAAGTGGGTCCACTGAGTACCAGCCAAGTCGTAGCTGGCGGCCTTGCCGCAGGTCCGAGCTTCAAACTGGCTTCGCCGATTAAAGAAGTGGTGCCGCCGATGCTAGACTCGTCAGAAAATACCTGAGTAATGAAAACAAATTATTTCAATTTATATTCAATTTATATTCAATTTCCGCTGACATGTGAGATAAACTTTTGATAGAAAAATTAATTTCCATGTCTATTTGTAATAATTATTTCGTATCAAACAAAGATAATGAAAAGAAAAAAAAGATTAAGAGCGAAAAATACCTCAACGAGAAGTGTTTTGCCTGTCGGACCGCCATCGAGAGGAAATAGAAATTTCTCCTGATAACTGGGCGATGGACATCTTCTATAAATTCTCGTTTGCACATGAGTTTGCCTGTCGGGTAGTAGACACACCCTACAAAAAATTTTTTGTTTACTTTTCTATTCGAAAAATGTTGATTAACTATTAAGCTCTGAGTACTTGTTACTACTATTTTTATTCCGGCCACACGCAGAATGTTTCTTATCGAAAGGGTTAATTAATTATTTCTGAACCAATAAGTTATTTTTTACAAAAACTAATTTTTTCTGAATCATTGTACAAGGCGTTGAATGAAAGATATCTACCTGACGAAAGTGTCTTGCGCAGGAGAACCGTCAGCAGTAACGAGATCCCTGGCTTCCAGGACGCTCACGGCCAGATCGCCTTCGCAGTCGCTTCCACGACCGCCCCATCTTTCGTGCTCGAGTCCGACGCAGACGTGACCGACAATGGGCACTTCTTCCAGGTCGTTTAGATTGATACTAGTATCGGAACAAACGCTCTCACAGCTGATCGCTCTCTTCAGGGTGAATTCATCAGGCGGCGGTTCAGGCTCGGGACCCCATGAACCTCGACGATTTCCCGATCTGCTATTGAGATCGTTCAGTGCGTAAGCTAGATACGACTCCTCTAGGCTCTGAAAATTAATTATAATTAGAATATATTTTTTTATATTGTTTTCAGTGATTAAATGTTTGAAGAAAACATATCATTACTTGTGAAAGTCGTCTCTTCAATTGCACCTCTTCCAAGGCGGCGTAGAGCTCCTGACTATTTCTTCTCCTAAAAAAAACAAATCTTACAAGCAACGTATATGGTTTTATAATAATCGATGAAGATAATTTAAAAAAAATTATTTTACGATTTTTCATCGTGATGTTCAATTCTTACCTCAACGGCTCGGTAGCTTCGAGTTCTACATATTCGTGAATACCGTTCAATCTTTCCTCTATGCTTTTACGTCTTTGTTCCAAACTGTTAAAAATATCCTGAAAGGTTGACTGGAATGAATAAATTGTCTAAATATTTTATTTTTTTATAATTATTTAAAATTTTTTTGTAATTCTTATTAGAAAAAAAATTATTACGAAGAGAACGTACCTCTGACGTTCGAGTAAAACTCGGATCTGATAAATAATTGTAGGAATCGTGATGCTCTTTAACTAATAAGGGAGATGATGGTGGATCTTGTAGACTATTGTACACCTATAAAAAACACAAAAATATTAGATTAAAAAATAATACAATATTATAATATATAAAATAATTTTATAAAAATGTTAAACTAATTGTGTGTGTGCATACGCAAATTAATATCTGGCCTCTTTGTTCATTATTAATTATGCATAATTACTCAATAAACCTATTAAACACAATATATTTCGGGGTGCACAATAATAATTTTTTCCTAATTGTGCTATTATTAGGGTATTCTATTTATAGATAAAATCTATAATGCTAAGAGAACAAGAAAGTTTATCAGTACTTCTTGCGCTGTTCTGTGAGCTTCCAGGTTTAGTTCAGGACTATAAAGATCGGAACTTCGTCTGATGCCATCCAGGCCGGTGATATCTGGGTCAGTTTCCGCGTAAATATCCTGCATATTCCGCAAATATTCGGCGTCTTGGAGATCTGCGGCGCTATCGTTCACGAACGGCGTTGTCGAGGGAAAAGTAAATCGCTGCGCCGAGGAGAGCACCGAACTGTAAACAAAGAAATATATCTCGTCATCATTTTGTATTTCAATACATTTTGTTCATTTTTAAATATAAAAAGTTCATAATCTATATTAGCAAACTAGTTTGTTGTAGATTCTTCGCGTTATTAATTCATATAATATATAAAAAAGTACATCTTATATATTTTTATCTCAACACTTTTTAATAATTTTTCAATCTTACTTGTAAAACTCCGAGGCATCTATGTAGCTCTGCGAAGTGACCGATCTGAGCGCGCTGAAGATCTTCTCGCCGGTGGTTGGACTACTCTTTTTCGGAATCTCCTGAGGCGGATCGGGCGGCGCGGGCGGCGGCGGCACCGGACTCGAAGCCGACTCGCTGATAACTTTTGTCTCGTCCCTGATCGATCCTTGAATCGTGTTAGTAAACAACAGCGGGCGCGTTTGGAGCTCGTTCACAGAGTCGTAAACAGGAAGATCGGGTAGACTTTGAATATACTGCGAAACTCGCTGAAGATCCTGTGCCTTCGACAAACTGCCGTGGAACATATACGGATCGGTGTCCTCTTGATGGCTGGAAGCGCTCGTGAACGGCGTCATCTCGATATTCTGCATATCGCTGTTCTTCCGATTGAGATCGCCGTTCAGCTCCTCGCTGTTCTGAAGCATCTTGGAAACGATCTGTGGCCCGTATATCGACTCCATGATCATTTGACTGGCGTTCGATGACGAGTTCATCGCGTTGAAGTTGTTTGCTAAACCTCTCGTCTCGTTCCTCGTGTACGGTCTTGTCACATGATTCCTCTGGACGATTTCGTAGCCGTTGTAACTGCCGCTGATATCCTCGCTGTCGCGGTTGTCTATAGAAGGGTTCATACTGTACCTGAGTCGCGACGGGTCTTTAGGAGGAGGTTCGAATTGCCTAAAAGTTGCCAAAGATTAAATAAAATCAACAACCTTCGCAATATAAATTTTACACATTTGATTATTAAAGAGTCAAAAAAATTTTTTTATCTATTAGAAATATCCATACTGCGTGTGTACCTGATAGCTCTCGAGTCCATGTGGTTCTGACTGGCGTAAGGAGTCATCTGGATGCCTGCCGCTATCGTCCTCGCAGGATCGTCGTCGAACACGAAAGCGGTACGTTCGATCGACGGCTGAAAGGAGCTGTGAGACTTGGGCGGCTCATTCTGAAAGAGGAACACGGACGGACCGGGGGCTCTCGATCGTATCGATCCTCTTTGCAATGACGGCGGCGGCGTCAGCGGACCCGGACCGACTTCGTGCATCCTGAGGTAGTCGACGGTACTCGGCGTCTGTAGCGGCGACGGCCTCGGGCGAGCGGTCGGCCGCGGCTGAGGCGCGGGTCGTAGCGGTTGAGGTGGTATCGTGCTGCCGCCGAGAGGCGGATGTAGATCCCTGTCGACAGCCTCAAATCTGTATAATAATACGAGTGATATAACAGTCTGAGTGTGTGGAATAAAATAATTTAATTCACTTTAAGCAATTTAATTTAATTTAACTTGAAACATGAAGATGTAAAATGCATTTTATTCATAATTTCTTGTGCGCTCAAAATTTTATTATTATTTTATTATCATTTAATTATGTACTATTTTGACGATTGAAATTTGTATAATAGCACTCATGATGTATAAAATATTTTTATTTGGTTGAGATTTTATAGACGTAATTCAGGATAATTAATTTAATTGGACGCGAGAGATTTCAAAATGATAAAAATCTTTTTATATATATTTTATTGCATTGTCTGCAGAGCTTTTAGTTTATAACGTGAACGATATACAGAATATTCTAGCGCAGTTTAATTAATTTCGTTGCGAGCATGAATGCAATATGCTCGAAATGCTTTTACGCAAAATCTCATGCGAAAGAAAGCTTTGTCACAGCTTCTATATTTTCTAATATTTTCTAAATGAATTTTCTTCGTCGCAATGTTAATATCAACAGTAGAAAAAATTCGAAATTAGTTTTAACCGAGTGAAAAAACTTCTTCTACCGAAAACTTGTTTGAGCGTCGTCTCTTGGATAATCTTTTATCCTTTTTTATTAAACGCTTTCTATAAACATATTCTTAATTACATTACAAAACAGTGCAGATTAAATTATTCACTTTATTATCACATACCTGGTAAAGGCGCCTTGTGCATCTAGCCGGAGGTCGCTGTCGCTATGCAAGAGATGTTGAGAGGTATTTCCAGTCTGGCGATATAGGCCTGGTATTGTCTGGGCGGTTGGATGCTGAGCCTTTACCAGCCCCACCTTCGAATAGTGCCATAATAAGAAATAATAATTCGAAACAATACAACGAGGCCATTCTGAGGTCGCAAAAGAGAATTGTAAAGTGACTGAATAAAGTCAAGTGGCATTTCATCGCATTTTCATCAGCCTCGCTTTAAAATATTCATATAACATTTCAGCGATCATACTTTCAAATAATATAACTGAGATGATAACAGAATTCTCAAGTTTTTGGACCAAATATATTGCGCTTCTATCGATGTTATCTCATTTTAATTCAGAAAGGAAAGAATGTGATTAAAAATTATAGAATATAATATTTTTAAATAATACAAGTGTGATTTTATACAGATTTAATTTATGTTTTGAGACACTTCACCTTTTCTTCCCGCGGTGCCCACAGCCAGGAAAGCCTCTGTCTCCATTCCTCGCAAACGCTCCAGACATTCCTGGTACCGAATTGCCATCCGATGCGATATCTGTGAGATTGACGCAGGGGTTAAGCACTAATTATATCTACGCTACAAGTAACGAGATAAGGAGCTTAGTCGAGATTATAATTCGGAAATATTGGATAGAGAATAATAGAACAAAGGGCGAAATGGAGTGAATCAAGACTTTAAGAACAAAGTTGCACGTCGCTGCTTGATCGCTAGATCTATTTATAAAATCTTTCATTTATCTTAAATATTCGCTCGTATGCCGTATTTTATTTTATATCTCTTAATTAAATTAATTTGCCCTTTCACCTTTCATTAACAATGACTTGATAATTAAATTAAAAGACGTTTTCCTTCTGTGTAATTCTTATTGCAAGCAATGTTAAATAAATTACCTTTTTCTCACTTCTCCATATATTTTCTATGTATTTTTGTTACACTGTGAATGTCTTTAAAATACAACAAGAGTAATTTAAATACAGTCTCAGAATCTATTTGTTAATTAAATATATTATTTTGCTAATTATTTTGCACACATTTACTACACGGTATCTTGTTCCACGGAATAATTTAGTGTCCTGCATGTTCGCGATAACGATCAGGGTTATTTAAATTTATAATCATCTTTAATAGCTTTCCTCGTATTATTATTCTCGGATAAAACGAATCCAGATTTATTCTTCTGACAAAAAATAGATTAAGCTCGTGCTCGAACAGACACCAAATTGCTAGTGTAATAATTGTATTCGCTAAATTACGCTTTCACCTGTTGCACCCATTAACGCGTCAACTAGTTTCCAAGGATATATTATTATATTCTTACATTATTGATTAAGGACGACGGAGAGATATCAGAGAAAGACTTACAACGAATAATTCAATTCAAATATATTCATAATTCGTGTGCAATTGCTTTTTTTGAAAAATAAAATGTCTGAATTATATATGTATATGGGATACATCGATATGTTTGTGAACAAGCAATTTTTATTCGTCGAAAACTCAATTATGAACGTAGTCAATAATTTGTTGTCAACAATTTTTATCTTATAAGCTGATTTTAATATTATCGGATTTTATTTGACTACATCAAAACCATAATTACCTTCGGCACAAAACAAGCGTGGCACCAGCAGCGATGACGATGACGAAAGCCACTCCGAGACCGGTGAGAACCCAACCCATCGTTCTGGATGCTAAATCCACCAAATCGGATGAAACCGCGAAGCCTAAAACACAGGGAGTGCATCTGTGCAGATAGCATTATCCGATTACGATCAGGGAACAATTAAAGCATGCTTATCCTTGATCATTGTTTAATTGATATGCGATTAAGAAAAATGTTCGATTTCTATCGAACATCAGCATTACAATAACATTAATTCATTTAATAAGTACAATATAAAATAATATATATTTTTTTACTAGAAATTTATTTTAAAGAAATTTTTTTAACAAGAATACTTGATTGATTTAAATAATAAATGCGCGCGGCTGATAATGTTCGATCGCGAATTTGATAGAAAAATCAAAGAGACAATGTGTCGACGAAGTAGCACTTTTACCTTTGTTTTTTTTTTGCTACTCTTTCTGTTAGCAGAAACAATAGTAGCAATTAGTGGCACATAAGATTTCAGCTTGAAACCGAGAAGCAAAAGCAAAGAGAATTTTCAAGTACATCTATTCAACGGTTGGCTTCGCCCTTCACCTTCTTTACGAAACAAAAGCCAAAGAAGATAGCAAAGATGCCTGGAGAACTTATGTTTAATTTAACATCTGGAAATCGATTGCTTCTTGTTTACAATAAAAATATAGAAAATTTTTTAAAATAACGCTTTCATTCACGTTGATTTAATTTGAAAGCATTGTAAGATTAATAAATATTAATGGATGTTAAATGGACGTTGCGCATCATTAATGTTGCAAAAACATATTATTATTGTTTTTGTTTCATTTTATGTAAAATAACAAGGGAAAAATGCATATGCGTAAAACAAAAATTCATCGGCAATGAGCAGAGAAAGTGGGTCAGCCAAGACTTGGACTACTACTACTTACATTTGTGTCACTATGTCAAGGTAGCCAAGATCTCTCGAGTTTAGCATTGTGTTTTAGATATATTGCGCGGTTGACATTATTTGATTAATAAATATATGGTAAATTATTTAGATACTATTTTTATTAAACTATTGCAGTGTAGATGGTAAGGATATAAAACAAAAATGAAAAATGAGTATTGATGAAGCTTTCACATGCCTCCGTTTTTCTCGCAAAATATATTATTTTGGTGAAATAAAACTGTAAAAATTTTGCTTTTTATAAAATCATAAAAAAAGCTTATAAAATAGATTTTACATTAAATACTACTAAACAATTTTTAATTAAGTTCTATCCAGATAGATTCATTAAATGTAGTCATAGCGTCCTTAGCTGAAAGTTAAAGTCATTTCATAAAGATTTGATATAAAGTACGTGTCGGTCTGCTCGTTATTACCAATAGTTTGTAAAGTTTGCAGAATCAAACTTGGTGAGTTATCATGAATAATTCACACGTGTAAACCATTTGCTAGAAGTCCACCTTGAACTTTTTAACTTTATAACGCATGTGAACTGCATTAATCTCTCGCTAACTTTCGCTTTATAATCGATTATGTTTTATTACTAGTTTTTGTGTACAATTATGCGCATAAATCAATTTTACATCAATTATTTCGCGCATAATAATAGACTAATATATAATAAATGGAAACAATGATGGGGTGATATAGTTGTTTCATAAAATCCAATCGTTGATGATGTACAGCAGTTAATGCCGCTTCTGTACGTCGGCGTTCACTTTTAAGTAAAATCCGATAAGCTTTGAACTTTCTGTTGTCTAGTCCATATTTATGAGGTATCGTAAATTCAATTCGCGCGGAGCTGCGGAGCACAATGTGCTTCGCACCCACAGCTTCTAATTTATACCTGTCTAACAAATTTGAATCCTCCTGACGCGTCTGACAATGTTCGCGTAATTTTCCGAGCGATACGCAACACCAGAAGAAAATTTGCGCTGGTATAAAATTCATACTCATATACGGGCTATCATAGCAGCATCCGCATTAAAATTTGCATCGCGCAGTTTATCGAGATTACGAAATTAAGTTCGCGATGCATTAGCGAAAGTGAACTAATGAAATATGCATTTGCTGAATGTTTCCTTACTCCATTATGTAAATATTTCTCATACTTGGCATACCATAAGAAGCTTTCATTTTATTAATGGCTTCACTTGATTTAAATTTGTGACACAGAACGTCAAAAGTAGTATATCAAGATGAAAAAAAAAAAGAGGAACGAAGGAAGAAAGTAAAATATCGAACTCTATCGCAAAGTACCTCCGTCTGCGCGGTATGTATTGGAAAGTGCCCAAGGGAACTAGAGGGATGTAGATTAAATATTTGCTAGGTATTTGACTAGTACGCTTACTCTCCAAATCAAATATCCCTCCACAACCGTTGCTTCACAATGATTTCTTTATCAACTCTATCGGAATTGCGTTATCGCCGTTTAACTGCATTCATACGACGAAAGAGTTTCGACAAGAAATATTACGACAGTGAGAGAAAGAGAAATATTGTATTATTTATCTTAACAATGCAATAATCAGTTACCTGCTCGACTATACTTGTCTCAATGTGTTAGTACTACTTCTTTTATTATTTCTGAGAATTATTATGCACATATTTGCGAAAATTGTCGTTTCAGGCGCTTCTGCAAAAGCCGCAAAGTATTACGTCTGTTTTAATTTCAAAAGTAGATTACTTCACGAGAAAAATATCGAGAAATCAATAATGTCGCTATACGTGATTGAAGATGAAACATTTTCAGCAAACTTTAATAAAGTTACAAGACGCAAACAGATAGCGAAACTGTATTCTTTAACAAACTTCGAGCAGACTTCGAAAGAATTTTAATTTGAAGTTTAGATATCAAGATATTGAAGTTAAAAGCTAAAAGTTGAAAAATTAGAAGAAACGATGAACTTTCTGACATTTCGCAAAATAAAAACTAATTTTAAATACATATATTGTAGACAGTCTGTCTGCGCAGAATTAAGATAAATTATCAATATTATCAACTGTGACAACGTGATGCGATTGTTTTTATTAAAAATATCTGATAAAATAAATAATTCGTATAAATAGCTCTTCGTGTGCAATATTCGTGTAATATATCGTGTAAGCTCCAATTTAAGTCAACAATCTGAAAAAACTCTAAATGTTGTATACGCTGTTTGCTCACTAGCGCTATCAATTTTATTATAGCCGTCGGGTCGTTCGCACCGAGCGATTCGACGACGCTGTCTCATCGATCCGCTCGTCATTCTCGAAAATGCGTTGTTCCGCAGGAAGCTTTAACGAGGTATGATCTTGCGGGTTACTAGGTCACCCGTTAGGCAAGTTTAATATGGCTTAGGATCGCGCGGAATTCCGAGACCGCCGCATTCTCGACCCATCCCACTCGCGAGAGAGTTTTCCTCCATCCGCCGTTATCTCCGAAGATAAGAACCGCTTCAAAGAGAGAAGGAAATTGTTCGAGAAAAGAAGGATAGCTGCCGGTATGCGTGAAAGAAGGAGAAAGCCCGCGAAAAAGATGGGATCTACAATAGGATCCGCGCGAAGGATTTCTCTTCACGACGCTTCGCGTTCTCCTTTTATGCACCGACTATAGACGAATGTCGAAGAAGCGTGGAAGAAAAGTCCCTGAGGGACCTCTCACTATAAGTGCAAGGCTAACCCCGCCGGAGAAGAATTTTCCGGTGGTCTTTGGAGAGAAAACCGATACTTGTATAATGTATTGCTATCGTATGCGTGATGGTTTCTGCTAAGTATGCAACAGAAGAAAAAATATTGTGTTAAATTTTACATATGCTATGTATATTATATTCGAATACTTATGAGAATATGCGGTGTTGTGTATTTGTCGACTAACCACGTTTGCATTATCCTCGTGTTGATCTTGCGTGCGTCGCATTTTATTTTACATGTTTTAGATCTTACGCGATCGTAAATCTGCCGCAAATAATTGTGTTATTAATTATAAAAGAACGGATGAGGAATTAACAATTTACACGATCAATATTCATATTTAATCGATAAGATCCTGTTGAAGTGACAAATGTGATTTCAGTGAAAAAGAGCAGTCGTCGACAGACGTTGTATAACTCCTCGAAATTCACATCTGAAGTAATCTTTGTATTGATTTTACATTAATATAAATGGGTCGTACACTTCTGGCGTAATTGCACTCATTGTTGTACGTGGCACATTAGCAGCAAAAATATTAATGTGAATTAATGGAATCGGTCATTGTAATAATGAGTGAAAAAAGTCAAATATCCAAATGAATAAAACTGATTGAATTTTAATTGTAATTACATGAATATGTGATAAACCGACAGCGAAAACATTAATATGAATTTATATTAGTTCAATCAATTTTGCAAACAAAATACGAATCAACTTCTTTACATACTTATTACATACAAATTAGAAAAACTGATTATTATGTGTGAACAAATATTATAATAAAAAAGTATTTGAATTGCATTTTTATTTGTAATATTTTATATATAACCGAGAAAGGCTAATAACAAAAATTTTTTTCATTTCTAAAAAGAAAACTTTTCTTTTTATGACACATACGCCAATGGATGCTTTCGCAATAACCGAGTCGATTAATTTTTGAGTACCACCCGCCATTCCCTTGTTTCACGGCGTTTCCGGTGACGGATGCAGCCGGTAAATACTCATAATTTCCCACTTCCATACGTTTTATTGGAATCTCTCGAAACTAGATGCCAAACGAGGCGGAAATCAATGGCTGAGACAAACCCCTATTCGATTTTCGTGATGGTCGCGGTTCATCGGAGTCTGGTGAGCCGTGCGACATGTACGCAGACGTGCAAGCCCGTCTACGTATTCTCTCAAAGAGTAGTGGTAAACGAGACTATGGTGGTCCCTGCTAGTGAGGGAACGTAATCAGATTTGCGAGAGAGCGACGGGTTCCATCAGCGCTTACAGTGTCTCCACCTTCGTTTCTCTCTCTCTCGCTCTCTGTACAACGGGATTCCCATGTTTCGCCCTGGGCACCATTCATTTTTCAGTTTATCCGCAGCAGTCGTACAGCAAAAAATGGTTGCATTAAATGCCAGACGTACGTGAACATTTTTCAGAACAACGTATCT